TCAATTTTCTCTAAATTACCCTTATGGATACTCTCTCAACTATAATCAAGTAAAAGAGAGAGTATTAAGAAAGATGATTATGGTGTTTTAAGAAAAATGTGTCACTTTTTTCATAATTAACTAATTTACCCAACTTCTTTAATCTAATCAAATTAGTTAAATAGGTCTTATATTAAAAATCTGAGGAATATAAAATTATATATTTTTGGTACACATATCACTTCTTTGGCTCTATGATTTGAATGATGAAGCCTTGTCTGCTTCATTTTGTCTCCTTGTCTTCTGTTAAGCTCGTGAAGGTTTAGAAAAGCAAAATAGTTCTCAAATCATAAAAAATTATAGTATATTTATTTAAAAGCATGGACCTACATTTGTATCCCTAAAATTAAAATAATCAATTATTATCTAGTATCACATACTTGATTAATGTAAAATTTCAAAAAAATTTCCCTCAATATAAACCATTTCGCAATGAAAATTTACATTGCTAATTAAATCAAGTACTCTTAAAACCTTTCTTTGTGTTTTTCTTAATATAAATACTATTTTCTTACTTCATTATGATACCTAATTATTTGATTGAAGAATTTTTTTTGGATATCTTATTCTTTTATTAATTTTTTAAATTTAGGATCAAATTAAATATCAAACTAAACCGTCTACTTCATTATAAATTTTTTTAATAGTTGCTTCCGTCTCGTGTCCGTGGTCATATTTAATTACATGACAATTATATACGTATACACATACTACCTCATATGCTTATCCTTGCAGACTTCAAATTTGACGACATCCAACTTCATTATCTTGGTATTGAAATCTGACTTGAGTTACTCAATGAGATTATCATGACAATTTTTTATTTTATTTTATTTAATTACTTATAAGCTTTTTAATTGTGATTATACGGGGGTGTGAGAAGAATTTTGTGTAAAGATATTTATTTTCAAACAAATTAACTCGTGGACCACCGACTATCCCAATTTAATTATTGTGAAAAATATTACCTCCGGTCCTAATTATAAGAGCTATATGACTAATTTGAGAAGATTAAGAAAATAAGTTAAGTTAGTTATTTGTAATAAATATGTGTTGTCTTTTCTAAAATATCCTTGCTAATGAAGTGTGTTGGATAGAATTACCATTATTAGAAGGATTATCTTAGGAAAAAAATATAAATATTAAAAACAAAATGGATTTTGATCTTATATTTAGGGTCAAAATAAAAATCAAATGAGGTATTATATTAAAGACTGGAGGTAGTACATATTTAAAATTGGAACATAAAAACAAATTTGGACGTCTTACTTAATTAAGCAATCCATCATTTTAGAAACTATTTATCAATTAAATTTTTAATGGAAGATTTATTCCCAATTTTTCTTTTTATTTAATTAAATTATATTATTTTAATTATGTTTCGATTCATCATATTATAACACTGAGTTTATTTGAAATAACTTATAAATAATTTTTTAATTATGATTTATGAGGTATTATTTTCGTGAACGAAATTGTTTTCAAACAAATTAACTCGTGGAGCACTGACCATCCCAATTTAATGATTGTGGGAAATACATATTTAAAATTGGAATATAAAAACAAATTTGGACCATACGTCTTTCTTAATTAAGCAATTTCAGACTTCCTGCTTGGTGCCCACAATCAGAAAGAGAACAGATAGACGAAAGCCAAAAATGGCGTCAGAAACAGAGAGCAAAAAGCATTATGTTCTGGTGCATGGTTCTTGCCACGGCGCTTGGTGCTGGTACAAGCTCAAGCCACGGCTGGAATCCGTTGGCCACCGCGTCTCGGTGGTAGACCTTGCGGCTTCCGGCATCCACCCCGCCAAAATTGAAGACCTTCGTTCCTTATCGGATTACTCTGAGCCTCTGCTCAAGCTGTTGGCCGACCTCCCTGCCGGAGAAGAGAAGGTGGTTCTCGTCGGGCACAGCTACGGCGGCATGAACATAGCCCTCGCCGCCGACCTCTTCCCGCACAAGATAGCGCTCGCCGTTTTCTTAACCGCCTTCCTTCCAGACACCAACCATAAACCATCCTACGTCTTAGAACAGGTGCGTACCCCTCTCAGATTTCTGATTTTGATTTTCTTTGGGATATATGATATGGATTTGTATTTGGATTATCATAAATCATAGTTTTGATATAAAAGCATAAAATTATTTATGGTTTTGAGCCATCATCTATAATTCTTGGAATGTATCAACAGTTTCTAGAGAAGATCCCAAATGTTGCATGGTTAGACACAGAGATCTGTGATCGTGGGAGCTTAACAACTTTGTTGTTTGGTCCAAAGTTCCTGTCCTCTCATCTCTATCAACTCTGCTCCAAAGAGGTACTGATCAGAGTGTTTTGAGTCCCACGTTGGAAATCTCATTAGTGTCGTGGGTTTGTAAGTTTAATATATTCTCCTTCCTAATTAGTTAGTCTTTTAAACGAACTTTTGATGTTCATAAAAAAGATTACCCACAGAGGGTTCTAACCGGCAGGAGGCTGAGTGAAGTACCGTGACATGAAGCTGTCAAAGGCTTTGGGGAGAGTCTTTGAACTTATAAGCATGCTTCCTCATAAAGCTCCCATGTCTGATACAAGAATGGATTTACTTTTAGACTTAAAATGGTGGGAAGAAATGTAATTGAATTTTTGCAGGATGTGGAATTGGCGAAGTCATTGATGAGGCCATCGTCCTATTTTGTGGATGACTTGTCTAAAGCAAACAACTTTTCTGAAGAGGGATTCGGATCAGTTCCACGAGCTTTCATTGTTTGCAATCAGGACCTGACAATTCTAATGGAATTTCAATTATGGATGATCCAAAATTCTGGGGTTAATGAAGTTCTGGAGATTAAAGATGCGGATCATATGGCAATGCTTTCTCAGCCCCAAGAACTCTGTGATGCTCTCCTCGGCCTTGCTTCTAAATATGCTTAGATTCATTCATGTTGCTCCATGTCTTTCTCTCTCTAAAGTATTACCTCCAGTCCTATTTATAAGACCTCGTTTGTAGTACAAATAAGACCTGGAGGTAGTACTAATTGGATGCCAAGAGAAAGAGACTTCAATAAATTGGAGTTTTGCAGGTGTGTGTTTATACTTTTATAGTTTGTAAAATGAACATTTACAAAAACTGAATTGAGCTTTTTGTCTAAAACTAGCTACTTTGACTTGCATATGGTTTTGAACAAAATTTAGAAAATAAAATATTAGAGAAGTTTCATTGAGGCATTTCAAGAAAAATAATCCATAAAATCAACTAATATTCATTAAAAAAAAAAAAATTGGAAGAGCATATGCAAGCATGTATAGAGGTGTCAAGAAATTGGCCATCCATGTAGGTCTCAAGGTGGGTTAACCTCATTTTCCAGGGTGGTAATTAAGATCATTTCATTAATATTGGCATTCCATTGATGATCATGATAGCAGACTATGAAGATTTTGAACCTCAACATGCTCACAAGGACTCCATACATCGTGCAGACATCATGACCAAAACTGTTCATGCACTACACACACACAAAAAAAAAAAGTTTATTCTCATGATTTTGTGCTAATTTTTAACGAATTAGCTTATCCAAATAGCTATAAAATAATTAGAGCTAATTGGATTCCGTCAATAATTATAATTACCATCATTAAATGTCACTAAACTTCATCCGTAAGCACATTTTTTCATAATGATGAGAGCAATTCTTCTATTTCTTTTAATTCCATCAATGCACGTGAGAGGAGATGATACCCTCACATCTTGTAAACTCTGGTTTGTATATTTAGGCTTTCCCTGCCACTCTTAGAATTTGAAGAAGCTGCCTAAACATGTTGGCCTAACTCTTGTCAGCTTGGCTAATACTCCATCCGTTCCTTCTTAAAAGTAACTTTGAATTTTATTATATAAATCAAAAAATTAGTTAAAGAGAGTAAATAGGTAAAAACTAGAGGTTCTTTCTTCAAAATATCCTTCTTTATTAAAGAGAGAGAATGTGAATGGAGAGAGATGATGCTTTAGAAAATGAGATGATAAATATATTGAGTATTAAAATAAATAATCAATGGGAGCAAAATAGAAAACTTGCGGCAAAAAATTTAAGATAACTTGTAAATATTACTTATATTCAAAGACAAAAACATGATGGTAGTTGTTACTTATAAAAAGGACAGAAAGACTATGAGTTTAAAGTTATAAAATCTGACACTTCAAATTTTGTCATTTTCTCAAACTTGACCCTAATTGATTAGACTCATAGAGTGTTTAGATGGAATCAAAATTATAATTTTAAAAATATTTTTATAGTATATAAAGTAAATATATAGAAGAGTTTATTTCGATTTATAGAACATTGCTTTTTAAAAACACTTTTCTTAATATCTAAACACCCTTAAGAGTCGAACCTGAAAGGTTGCGTGACTTTTCTAACTTGCAATTCATTGGAATGATAATACATAAATAAAATCTTCAAATGACCTCGAATAAATGTCTAAAGTAGCAAATTAAGCTCTAAAATTCAAACTAAATAATATAAATACAAGTGTTTAGTACTCATTATCATCAAAAATAAAATATTTGACCGTAGGATGTGGTGCTGTGGATAGTTACTGCTGGCTGCTGGGAGACTATCTCGAACCAGGGGATCCGAATCTTACCCAGAAATAGATGCGTTCGCGTGTCACATCACAAATGGGACGCCGAAGATTGATTTGGACAATGCAGACGCCGCAACGCAAAATCAGGATTCAGAAAATGGTGATTATGGACGTTAGTGTTTGTGATACTGAATTCTCAAAATTCTCAATCGGTGCCTTGCGTTCTGCGATTCCATTACCAATGAAGAATCTCGCCGAATCTCACCACGTGCCCTCTACCTCATCCGATTCTGGCCGCGGTTCTACTCGTCTTCTTCCCTGCCTCCAATTTAACATATTCTGCACAATCGAGCTTCAGTGCCTTCATTTAAACCAACATACTGAAAGATCTCGCGGCGCCAAATGTCCCGTTCTCTCTGTTTCGCCGGGAAATCTCAGAGAACAGTAGAACGATTGGAGGACAGAATGTAGATGAAAGGTACATAATCTGTTGATTTTCACCTAGTATCGTCGTTGACTGCATATTGTGTTGCCATTTTGATGAATTAACGTCGAGCATCAGTTTGTTCCTTAGAATGTCCATATTCGGTGAAATGCGACGATGAAAATCGGAAATCATACCTTATTTTTGCAAATTAAGCTTGTCTTGGCATGTGGAATTGGAATTGTTTTGTGTATTTGCGATGAATTTGGTGTGCGAAATTAAGTAATTTTTTATGTGTGATGATGCAGTAAATAAGAACGTTTAGTGTTTAGTTGCTCTCCCTTCAATGACGGCTGAGGCACTAATTCCTCTGCTTGAGTGCGATATGGAAGCTGCGAATGAAAATTGTTCAGCCTCCCCAGGCGATGAAATGAATAAACAGGACATTCCGAAAATCCAATCTTCAAAGGATAAGATTCCTGGAGGCGAGCTTTGGAATGATGGACTCATCTGTGCTTTTGAATTTGTCTCCGTGCCTCGAAGAAGTAAATTAGCAGAAGAAGTTCAAGAGGTCGCGAAAAAGAGAGTCTCACATGGCGATCAAACTAATTGCTTATTAAGAACAAAAGATACAGGAAACTGCTCGAATGATTCTTCTTTAATAGTTGAATCTGGAGTTAATAAGAGTCAGTCACATAATCTCCATGGCAACAGAGAAAGGCTTCCAAGGAGCTACTGGAGACCAATTGGATGGGCAAGAATTTCTGAGCTTATACAGACCGTTCAGGTTGAAACTGAGTGGGCCTCATCAGAATCGCGTGGTTTCTCAGATGAAGAAACTGATGTCACTGCCGCAGATGTTGCAGCCCCTTGCTGGGAACGGCCGGTGGGTCCGACTTGGTGGTGTCATGTGGATGCAGGCCATCCATTTATTAGAGCATGGTTGAGCAGTGCTCAGTGGCTCCATCCTGCTATTAGCATTGCTTTGCGCGAAGAAAATAAACTAATCAGTGAACGAATGAGATACCTTCTATACGAGGTATGATACTACCGATTCTTAATATAAGAATTAGTTGACTAATTTGAGAGATTAAAAAAATTAGTTAAGTTAGTTATTTGTTATAAATAGGTTTTGTTTTTCCTAAAATACTTTTACCAATCATGTATTACTGAAATTATCATTTGATAAAACATTTTACATGTGCAACTAGTACAAGGACTATTTTGAAAAAAAATAAATAAATATGAAAGACAAAGTGGATTGGGATCTTATATTTAAGATTAAATTAAAAGTCAAACAAATTCTTTTTAGTACAAGAAGACTTATTTAATAACAATTTTAAGGATGATGAAATGCAAACAGATAGTTATAAATATGAGAGTTTCAACTTTAATTTGTTAATAGTAGCGGAATTCATCACACGCTGAATCTAGCACATTTAGATTAAAACTGGATGATCTAGTTGTTATTTTTGTATTTTTATTAACTTATTATTTTAATAGATGCAAAGTCTAGTGGGTGTAACCTCAAAATAATATTTACGTAACTGCAAATATCGATTTGAGTTATGAAAAAAAATCTATAATTTTTGTATTGACAGGTTCCCGTTCGGGTTGCCGGTGGACTGCTATTTGAGCTTCTTGGGCAATCTGCGGGTGATCCTTTTGTTGAAGAAGATGACATCCCCATTGTTTTAAGAGCATGGCAAGCACAAAACTTTTTGGTGACAGCATTGCATGTTAAAGGTGTTACATCCAACGTCAACGTATTAGGCATTATAGAGGTTGAGGTCAGTCCTCTTTTTATTGACGAGATCAGAAGTATATCATATCTGTCGACTCAATTGAAAAATTCGATTAGTTGGTATATGAATAGATTTGAAATTTTTTAGAGAATTAATATTTTAAAAATTGTAAAAAAAATCAATAAAAATCATATTAGTTCTATTTATTTATTTATTTTAATTTTTTGGTTGCTAGTTTTCAGTGATGTTGGTTTTTTAGTTAAATTTATTTTTTTATATATTAATTAATATTTTATTAACACAAGATATAGATAATTTAATTAATTAATAATTTTGGGGGTTAAGTATAATGAATTTAAAGTTTAAGGCAATTCCAACATATTTCATGCAAATCAAGAAAAATCTTAACCTATATTAACTCTATATTAAAATATAACAATTTTCTAACTTTACTTCTATTTAATATATATTTTAAAAGAAATAATTATTTACACTATCATAAATAAATAACAAAATAGTATATTCATCCTAAAAATTTAATAAAATAACTTATAAATAGGATCAATAAAAACTTTCTCTCTCTGCTTTATAAATAGGACCAGAGGAGTAATGAATGACTGTTAGTTATTTTAAATTCAAGTTCTTACTAAGGATAATATTAATTTGTTTGAATTTACGTATTAACTTAAAAATTTATTCATCTTATTGTTTATTTTTCATTTAATATTTTAATATATAAACATTAAAGATATTAATGTAATTAGAGCTGGTTCGATTATGTAATTAGTGTCTCTATTGCTTTAATAACTTGTTAGATTTCCTGGTCCAAAAAAAAATTGTTAGATTTCAAAAACATGTCAAAATTGCAGTCGTCTGTTTATTTATTCTTAACATCATGCTACAATTTTTTTTTTTTTGATTGAATATTTGATTCTGTAATTTTATGTAGGAATTGCTTGCTGCTGGAGGGACTAATATCCCACATTGCATTCACGAGGTTGTAGCACACCTAACAAGTCATCTGGCTCGATGGGATGATAGGTGAAAATTACTTGAATTATTAAATTATCATTGATCCCGCCTTTGATAAGTATGATAATTTCTTTTGTTTTAATTTTTAGTTTACTTTTTCCTCTTTTCCGGTACATGACCTTAATTAACAAGGAAAAATAGATATTTAGATGTCAGTGGGAGTGAAAACAGTTCAAACAACAAGTAAATCAATTTGTAAAGCGTTAATTATTGCTTTCATGCAAGGCTCCTTGCATGTGGAAAGAAGTTGAAGGATCATAATTTACGCAGTTATATATGGTTTATGGGTGAAAAAAAAAAAATTGTAAGCAAATAGAACCTTAGCATCGAATATTGAACAAGGTCCTGTTTGCTATGAGAGAGAATCCCGATGTAGAATTGGATCCCACCGGGAACTTGGATATTCTCTTCATAGCTCCATAGATGGAGTGATATTGCATTCCGAGGAAAACAAAGAGGGGGGAAACCAGTTTTGTGTCCCATCTATTTTATCCTCTATGGTCTATAGAGAAGCAAGCGTGAATTCGCCCCTAGAAATTTTATCCTTTCAACTGCTCTGCTTCAGCCCGGCCAAAGCTGCAGCAGAGGAGGATTTGGAATTTTGATATTGAATTAATGGTTTCATCGGATGTTCTTCTTTTCCGGAAAGAACAAGTTACCTGGGATAGGATACTGTCGCCTCTGTTGTTTTTTAGGTCTGGAAGAATGAAGAAATTTGACGGCTTTCCTTGGACGTGGAATATCTAAGGCATCTGACGGCTTTCCATAATTTGAGTTTTGATTCTCAAAGATATACTTTAGAAATACTCCTTCAAAAATTGTTTCTCTGGGCATTTAAGGATGTAAAAATGAAGTTCTGTTACTTCTGATTGAGAATAACTTTCACTGATCTATGACATACTAAGGAAACAAATTTAATAAGAAAGGAATTGATTTTTGCAGGAATTGCATTCCCAGGTTGGGTTAGCCTATTTAAGGATAGATGTATATGCTATTATTGGGCTGACTTGAATTTATAACCAAAATTATTATCAATAGTATGTTCCCGTCTCTGCTTCTCTCGATTCTCTCCCTGTCAGTTAGCTCTCCCCTAAATCTCTCTTTTTCTTGTACTCTGTGCGTCACTCTATTAATCAGCTTTTTGACTATCTGCATATTATATACTTCATTATTAACATGTTTGATGTAGGTTGTTCCGTAAACACGTATTTGGGGCTGCAGATGAAATCGAATTGATGTTTATGAACAGGTGATTGTGCATTGGACCATTGTCCATGTACTCTAAAAGCTGAACTTTGTTGGCCATTTCAAATTTTGTTGGTAACTTGGATGCCGAATGTTTTTAATCTTCTTGACCAGGAGGAACCATGAGGATTTACATCTTTTCAGTATAATATTGAACCAAGAAATCAGAAGGTTATCGGCCCAGGTACCTTTAACCAGGGATTGTGCGTAGACGTTAATAATTAACCACGAAAGAATCCATGAAATATTAGATTATTCTAGGAATAAGAAGCAAACAGGATAGCTTTTTTATCTCCATTAACTTGTTTGCGGCAAGAACGGTCAGGAAAGGATAATAAAATAAAACTAATAGCTTGCTTCGTTTTCTTTTTCCGTCTTGAAAAGGTCAATGTACGAAGTACAATTCCTTTTCTTCTTTTTTTTGGGTGACATACAATTCGAATTTTATATAAACGATACCGCTTCTAGAGTAAGACTGGGCTACAGATGTAGCATGTGGGCTTGGGATCCTGGGTTGCATGAGTATTCCTCAGATCAAATAATACAGACATAATTTCTGTTTATTTCTCGTAACTTACTAATTTCTGATATATGTTTCTGTTGCTCTAAAATATGAAGGAAAAAATGATTATTTACAGCATATTGAAGAATTGTCTTTCAGGGAAAATCTGGGGTTCTAAGGTGGCTTTGAAGATCATAGATGCAGAGTTTGCAATTTTTTTTTTTTTTAGCTCTGCTCAGAGGATATTAGTTATGGGCTTTGAAGGGTTTCAGAGGGTAGGATTTTGAAACATGGAGTTGCTGTGGGCTTCTATAAGTAGTGCTGAGCGAAGCCGTTATATATTGGTGAAAAAAAATAAATCTTATATTCTTGTTAACAGTTTTTTTAATTGGCCGGCCCTAGTTAACCATTTTGTAGTTGACATGGTTAAAGTTCAGACCGTGTTTGTCTACTGCTTCGTAACGTTTAACACAGAGTGTAGTCCCTTTCAATGTTGATGTCTTTAAAATTTCTTTTGCTATTTGTAGGAAATATATGGTTTTCCTTTTTGAGTTTTACATGCGAAATATAAAGGCTAGACTTAACTGGTTACACAGAGCTCTATCGGTTGCACTTCACTAGGTGTTTTTTTCTACCATAAAAAGTATCTCTATCGTCTTGGTTTCCTGTGGAGAACAATGTTATATGTAGATTTCTTTTTTATTTATTAGGCTATAAGAGTGAAGTGGTCACTCCATGCACGAGAGGAAATTGTTTTTGAACTTATTCAACAATTGAGAGGAAGTGAAGCAAGGACCTTGCTAGAAGGAGTACGAAAAAGTACTCGAGAAATGTTAGAAGAACAAGAGGCAGTTCGTACTCGCTTATTTACAATTCAAGATGTCATGCAAAGCACAGTCCGTTCGTGGTTACAGGTTTTGCAATCTTGGCCTGATGATACTGAAGTATATATGATGAGATAGATTTAGATGTTTCATCTTCAACGTGTCAATATGAAATATAAAATTTATAGAGAATTGAAATATTCTCTAAATCTCTTATAAGTTACTTCTTACTATTATTTGGCTTCTGAAGAAAAAATCGAAGCATAAAATAGCATGCATTCGTAGATTTCAGATTTATTCAATGTAAAAATCTGCCGAATCTAAAGTAGATTAATGTAGTAATCTGCTGAATCTAAAGTAGGTGAACTTAGTTGGCTTTTATGTCACCGCATCACTCTGGATGTAAACTTAAGAAAATAGTAAAAATGAAGTGAGTGCCTTCAACATGATGAAATTGTGTAATTTTAGACTATACATAAGACTTTGCCCACCATGCTATTCAACAATTTTGAACAACGATGCTTCAGACACTAAGATATGGAGTCATACATTTTTGTGTGTGTGTGTTTCAACATAATGAATACTATTATTTATGTTTAGAAAATCTTGCAATGCTCATCAGTTATTCCGTTCTTGCATTTTACAACCCTGATGGTTTGGACAAGGTTTAGTTCGATTATACTGATGTTAAATTATATAACACATCTTATGATTTTTCTATCACAACTTATTGTTAACCATTGAATCATAGTTAGTTTTTTACGATTGTATCTTTTTTATAAGGACTCTCAGTTGTCGTCCTAAATGGGGGAATCTTAGGAGTGAAGTGAGCAAGTGCGTCCTTATGTTTGGTTGTCGTTTTCACTTTTGGCTTGATTTATGCTGACTGAACAAACATATGCTGAATATTATCAAAATCTTAGTGATTTTAATGATGCCTATGCCATTGTTAGGGATAAAAATAGCTCACACTCTTGCTCCTTGTTCTAGGATAGAAGCCTGACAGTGACTCACAATTTAGGAGTCTTTGGTGGCGGGGGTCTTGTACTCTCCATCATAACTGGCCTGTTTGGTATAAATGTAGACGGAATACCTGGAGCTGCTGATGCTCCCTATGCATTTGCTCTATTCTCTGGCCTCCTCGTTTTGTTAGGAGCTCTACTCGTTGGAATTGGATTGCTTTATCTTGGGCTGAAGAAACCCATTGTGGAAGAAAATGTTGCAATCAGAAAATTGGAACTTCAAGAGCTGGTCAAGATGTTTCAACATGAAGCAGAATCTCATGCACAAGTGCGAAAAACTGTACCCCAGAAAGATTTTCCTCGGACTGCAGCACGTAAGAAGCCACCAAATTGTGCGCCCCATCATTTCCTTGTCTAGAAGGTATGCTTTTTTTGAGAGAAAAAAAAATTATATCAGTTGGGTTTAAATCCTAACCACTACTTTTAATTGTTAAGTTAACCCTAGGGGCTATAAAGCTATACTTCTGTGTACACTCAACATATATATGGTTGTTTTGTATGGTACTTGGTGTTTAATTTGTGTGTTATTTGGGTTAGATCTATTTGTGATCATACCTCATTACCTCCGCGCTGGAAACCATTCGACCTCTTTCTAATTTTTTTTTTTTTCCAAATGATCACTCAACCTTCTTCGCAATCTCCTGCATTATGTATCTTGTTTTATACAATGGAAAAGATCTCCTCGATCATATTTAATTTCATTTAAGTAAATAAACTCTTAGGATGTGCTTGGATGAAACCAAACCATGGTTTGGAAAATAGATTTTGAAAATAAATAAATTTTGTGAAGAATAGATTTTGTGAAAAAGTGATTCTGAGAAGTGAGAGTGTTTGGATAGTTGTTATCAGAAGTACTTTTTATATGTACAAATTATTAAAAAAAGCATAAGTTAATATGATAATTACATAAAACATAGATTGTATGATATATTTTAATTTGAAGGAATAAAATTGTTAATAATATATTTTTTACCAACATAATTAATAATACATAAGATAATATAATTAATAAATAATTAATATGTGTATATTTATTTATAAGATATAAGATTAAATATGTTTATAAAAAATTAATTAAGGGGTGTTAAAGTCATATTATTGTTGAGATTTACTCTAATAGACACAATCATACTCTCCAATTTGAGCCAGAAACAGAATGGATTCACTTCTCTCGAAACTATGGTTTTGGGTTCTAAAACCATGGTTTTGACCCAAACCATGGTTTGGGTCTCCAAACCATGGTTTGACCTGCTATCCAAACAGGGCCTTAATCACAATCTAAGTCCATCAAATTGTATTGGGTTATTTTTTTTTTTTTGGTTGCCTACCCAGTTTACCGGAGTTTTGCTCCGACTATATTTGGATCCAACCCGTGTCGCGTACCTGGCTATGGTAGGTGAGTCTCCCAATGGGAATTTCTGCATACGCAGAGGCTCGAACTCGAGACCTCGCTTAAACGGTACCAAGCCGCTTACCACTTGGACCAACTTCTGTTGGTTATTGGGTTATATTTTTGCTACAGGTTAAATTATCAATTACGCTACAGGAGAGATACTCTAGTGTAAGTAATGAGAAACATGGAAATAGAATTATGCAATAATATTAAATACTCTTTTAGTCCTATTTATATGACAGAAAGAGAAAACATTTTTTGTCCCTATTTATAGGACACTGAAAGAAATTTTTTGTATGAATATATAATTTTATCCTTTATTTATTATTGTGTTGATTTTGTTTATATGAGGTATAATGTATATCGAATAAGGATAAAGTTGGAAAGTTGTTAAATTTGAAATGAGAGTAAATAAAGTTTAAGATCTTTTTTAGTCTGTGTGAAACATATTAAAAGTAACTTATAAATAAGATCTGAAAAATACTCGAAAGAAATGTTGCTGTGCATGCATAATTATAATTGGATATAGCATGCTGGGACAAAGACACCACGCCACGTTTTTATATTTTTATTTATAACTTAATTCCGCGACAGCAAGAATATATAATAACTCGAGAATCCTAGAGCAGTTTGTAATATATATAGAGACAAATGAATTATTAACATGCATTAAGCTTTCCTTATTATGTAAATCAATATTTAAGGAAATATTTAATTTAATGCCTAAGTCGGTAATTAAAAGTATCCGGCCTAACAGATAGTATTAAAATTATTTTTTCATCCCCAGACCCAGATAATTGGCATGATGATTTAAGGCCAGGGGGTAAGTTTAACCGTTTCCTGGGGCCGAAAACGCTGCCACATATAAAGCCCAGTAAAGCCGCGAAGGGTAAGTTTCCACTTTCAAACGGTTATGCGTAGCTCTCTCCCATCACGTGAAACACCACACCGCCATAACTCTTGACTCTCAGCTCAAAAAATATCAAAACCCTCAACCCACCATTCTTCTCTTTTCTCTGGATTGACTTTTAGTTGTCAACGTCATATCAACACTTAATGATTCAACCCAAAAAAATTTTGAAACTTTCAGATACATACCCAGCCTCTGAACGCAAAATGCAGATATACCATGGATGAACCCCTTCTCCCCAAAATACGAGGAGCGGTCGCAGAATCATCAAGCAGGCCATCATCATCCCTAAGAGAACGCAACTCATCTTATATTGATCTTATCACTAATGAAGAAGTCATTCAGATTATCACCACACCAAAGACTAGCCCCTCTTATTTGAACTTCTTAGCCAACTTGAACAGAAGAAAGAAGATCGTCCATCGCTCACACTCTGCTCCCTCGGTTTTCACTTATGCCAGAGGAGACGGTCACGATCCCTTTGACCTCGGAATTTCACAAAAGACATCACCGACAATAGTAGGTCTGTCCTTTGTTGGCGTCATCTTGTATGTGGCAACTGGGGTTTTAGTTTACTTGATAAGTGGGAGTTTCAAGGGCAAATCCACGTACAAGCCTGTGGATGCTGTGTACTTCACAGTGGTGACTCTCTGCACAATAGGATATGGTGATATTGTCCCAGACACAGCATTCACCAAAATCTTTACCTGTGGGTTCATTCTGGTGGGTTTTGGACTCATCGGCATTCTGCTAAATGGCTTGGTCACCTACATTTGTGATAGACAAGAGGAAATGTTACTGAGTGCCATGGATGAGAATCGATTCAATACACTAGTTAGATCATATATGATAGATAAAGAAAAAGGAAGAATGAGGATAAGAACCAAAGTGGGTCTAGCTTTGGCTGTGGTTGTTTGTTGCATTGCTGTAGGGACAATTAGTGCTCGCTACCTTGAGAAGTTGGATTGGCTGGACAGTTTTTATCTGTGTGTTACTTCTGTTACAACAGTAGGTTATGGGGATTATGCTTTTAGTACTGAGGGTGGAAGGTGTTTTGCATCATTATGGCTCTTGGTGAGCACATTGGCAGTCGGCAGGGCCTTTCTGTACCTAACTGAATACAGTATTGACAAGAGAAATCGGACTATTGCAAAATGGATTCTTCACAAGAAGATTACCTTGTCGGATTTAGTGGCCGCTGACCTTGACAATGATGGATCAATCAGGTATGCTAAATATTTTCTATTACATAGAGTCTATGAAGAAGTATCTAAGCATATGAGCTTACAGTCGAATTTTGCATTGTTGTTGACTTGTTGGTCACCTAAAATGTCAATCAATAATAAGCATATAAGCTTGATCAAAAGAAATCTTCACTAAAAAGTGTAACTATGTTTGAATGGGGGAAAATTGTACCTAAGCTATTTGCGTGTGGATTCATATTTAACTTAAGTTATCTGCATTCGCAAGCTGCTCCTCTTTTTTCGGTCAAATTAGATTTACTCTTATTTTCCATTGGAACGTTGTTATTAGGAGCCAAGGATGGATTATAAGCAAGGATTGGACAAATTATTGACTGATTTAGTCACTTCAAAAATACATTTTAAGAATAAGTTGGTCTGGTGAAGTATCAGAGAGGGGAACCTCAGAGTTATTATGTTTACAGAGCAAAAAGAAAACACCAACATGCAAAAACTGATGAACAGAGGTAGAGGGTCTACCCGATTTAACACTTAACAGTCTTCAGCCACCAAACCATTGTCCACAACTTTGACCCAAAAAAAAAAAACCATTGTCCACAACTAAAGGACAGAATTGCAATAAGATGGAGATTCTGAGCTGCATGCCTCATTCCCGCTGTAGCTTATAGGCCCTCGTATAGGAGACCCAAACGCAATTTAGCACATATCCTTAGGTCATTAGCATGCTTTCAAAAATTCTTGAGGTATAGCATGCAAGACTTCACAGAGATTGCCATAATATACCAAGTGCAGCTGATATAGTAGCATTTGCTAGGTGTTCATTTTGTAGCACATACATGCTTTATGTTTCTGTGTAATCTTTTCCTTTTATGCTTGCAGCAAGTCTGAGTTTGTCATATACAAGCTTAAGGAGATGGGGAAGATAGCTGAGAATGATATTCTACAAATAACCAAACAATTTGACACATTGGACAGTAGCCAATGTGGCAAGATTACTCTTGCTGACCTAATGGAAACTGCCTAATACAGAAGTCAATTCTATAAGAGAGATGTTTTCCCAGTCTTACTTGCCTGGGCAACGGCTGCTTGCTTTGGTCTTTATCTTTTCAGGTAAGATGGTCCAGCACAGCCAACAATTTATTGCCCAAAACTTGATCAACCAAAGGACTTGCAGCGGTCGAAACTAAGTACCATGAAAAAGATGCATAGTCCATCCCGGTTGCAGGTTCCATCGGACATTTCAGATAGTAAGGTGTAAAGGAAATACGGGACGTGATTGATTCTATCACATTTAGGAACAAGCCTAGAACAGTTAGTTTGGAAAATTTTTAGTGGAAAATCCACTTTTAGTAATAATTTGAGCGTTTTATTCATAAGTCTAGGTGTTCAGCACACATTACCACTACAGTGGAATTAGATATTCAGCCAGGGAATTACAATACCACCCGAAGTGGCACATTATTGTTTTATCACAGGATGGTTAAGAAACATGGTATTTGTTATCTGTACTCGTGAACATGTACCGCTAGAATCAATACCGTTTACAAGAAATGATACATTTTTTGTGCACCAAAAATAAAAAAAGAAATGATACCTTTCTAAATATATTTACAGAATCTCCCATGATAATAAGTATAAAGAACCTCATCCGCAAATGAAATGAACATATGTCACCGGAAAAAAAAAAAATGAAATGAACATATGCATATTGTGTCTCTCAATAATTAGCCAGGACAAGATACATTGCAGGTTACGAGGAGGTAAAATTTGATGATCTCAGAAGCCAAGGTTATGAACTCCAAGAGCCAGAACATTTAGCCTGCAAGAATAAAAGTAGACATATAATTGAATATAAAATTGTAAAATATGACCCAAATACAGTTGAGATTCACTAATTGGACTTACATTTTCAAACAATCCTCTTTCTTTCTTATGCTGAAAGTCACTCTTGAATAGTATTTCACAAGAACCTTCATGAAAGGGATAATAATGTGAAAATTTTGCAGCGTAAGTCACAGGCATGGGCCTTGCAACTTCACTTAACTCTCCTTCAGTACAGCAGGAAATTTGTCAAAGGTAAATGCTCCAGTAATTGATTAAGCCGATGATGATGGCTGGAATGACCAATAATAAATCAATACATTAACATCTCTTTACACTTAGATAGTAAGCATCGTAAATGTTTTTTATCCATTTCCAACATGAAGTAATTTAGTGCTACAAGCAAAAATGCACAAGATTGTCCTCAAAGAATAAAGTTAGCCCTCACCTGGAAGCAGAAGATGAATTGAACAAAACAGAAAATGTGATCAGATCCTTAACTTTGACTCCCAATGCTTCTGATTCTGAGGGTTAAAAAATATGAGAAAAGCATTACGTTACTAATTTTTTTTCACTATATTACAGAACATGCTAAAAAAATAATAACAATACAACCAAAAGCTCCCCAAGCAACAGTGGTAGCAGTATCCAATTCTTCAACGGAGCAATGAGTTTGATGCTTTGGCAGATAAAGATGTGTACCTCTGTCTGATCCCATGGATGCTCTCAAGAAGTTCCACCATTTGTTGCCACCTTGAATTCTTTGGCTCTCTCACACCATCCAACAGCAAGTTTGAGGCTTTCAGAGCGGTGATAAGTTCGACTTCAATTTCACTGAGCTTTTGATCTATGTGCCCCATTAATGCCTCATAAGAAGAAATTTCTGTCAAGACGCTAGTTTTTTATCTTCGTCTAACAAGCACTGTTTATGGATTGTTGAAGATCCCCAGTCTCCTTGTCACTCAATGAATCCCCTTGACTTTCCGCAGAAATCTGCACATCTTGAATATCAACAGATTTCATCACATTAAAATCCAAGTCATTGTCAGTAATATCCTTGCCACATTCTTCCTTTGGACTAATGATTCGAACTGGACTTGAAGAGTCTTCTGTTTTGCCTTCAATATTCAATGAAACATGCCCAATTAGTTGACTTTCTTTCAAAGATATTGCCTGAAACAACATTAACGCATCTTTTGATTTCAATAATGTGAAATTCCAAAACAGAAGGGATTCTTTGGCTGCAAAGGAAATATATTTACTCAATAAATTTTAGAGATGATAAGTGTTCATAGGATTTGCAATCATAAAATACAACCACCCCCAAAAAAATGGAAAAGAAAAGCTGTCAGTTCTTTACTCTTCCATAATTTTATATCAGCCAACATGTGCCAGGTCGATAAAAACTCCAAAGGTCAAGATTTGTTCCTTTGACCACTTACAAATAACGGTATGTATGGGCTTGCTGAGGGAGTGATTTAAGAGTTAAAAGTTATTTCTTGTCTACAACTTTAAAATTTTCCCAACTATATTTTCATTTGCTATTTAGATTCCCCCAATCAATGTATTCCAGATATGAATTTGTCATCTACATTTACAATTTTATCTGACAACCTTAGCCTTGAAAATTTTAGCTATATATTTATGCATTTGTAGGTGTTATTACCTTGAAAACAAGTCAAAACAGTATACATGTAGATGATATTAGTCTCTCCCTCAAGAATTTTTTCATGGGTCAACCATTGTATGTGTATGACATTAGTAATCAATTCATATTACCTCACAAAGCTTTGTAAAAAGTTCATCAAGCAATTCAATGCGGGTTTTAGACTTCTCCAAAGCTTGCAAGACCTTCTTCCTCTGAAAAAGTATTTCTCTCGCATCATTTTCCTTCCCCTTTTGAACACTTACAGCTGCCTGCTTTTGAAGCTTCTCTGCTGCCTCTGACAATCGCAAAAGCCTCAGTCTAGCATTATTTGCTGCTCCAACCACCATAGTCCATAGGTAAGTTCAAGTATTAAGTCAATGATTATAACTAGATCTATCTACTAGCGATTAAAAGCAAATCTACAAGCACTATTTTAGACAAAAGTTCAGTTTTTTGGCAACAAAAGTACCGAAAAGAGTACAGAATCCAATTCTTCGCATTCTGCGTCATACATTTCATTGGATTAACCAATATATCAGACTGGTCATCCACTCCCAGCAAGAAAAAGATTTTATTGGGAGCATTTCTGAATTGAAACGATTCCGAAAACAAAGCAACCAAATGGGAAAAGATAGAGGAGAAAGAAGTGAGAGCGAAAGATTCGTGCCCTTGGCTCTGGCGGTTTCGGCCTCTGCGTGAAGCTGATCGAGCTGAGAACGAAGGTGTTCCGTGTTGATGATGCTTGAAGCGCAGCAAATAGGCCTGCACAGAGGCCTACGGGGAATCGCCATTGCAATGGCTCTACCAGAATTCGTTATCATCTCTTTCTCTCAAACACGCACGATGAATGAAAGAGAGTACCTACAGCTGCTAATGCGAAATCCTCCCCCTTCCCGTCTTCTTCCACCATTGACAGCATTCCACTAGGATTTTTTTTTTTTTTTACCCCGAGAAAGGTTTCCAAATACAAGGACCGATGTGGCCCAACTTACTTCAAAATTAAGCCCAGACTTCTGTTTTGGGCCTGAGGCCAATATTATTATTTTGGATTAATACTATTTTCAGTTCTGTATTTGAAAACCATTATTTTGGTTTCAGGAACCAAGAGGAAGTCAAATTTTATAGACCAAACACTAGCCTAATTTCAGATATCAAAATTAAAATGGAGATAGCTCTCTCTTGTACCAAAAACAAAATAAATAAAATGAAGTAAGACTTCGGAGACTAAAGAAAATACTTCTATGATCTTTAATATAGAATCTAATTATTAAGTTGATTTTGGTCTTAAATATAAGACTTATTTCTTATATTTATCATTTTTTCCTAAATTAACCCTATGGATACTCCCTCAACCATAATCAAGTTAAAAAAAAAGAAGAAGGATATTAAGACAGATGATTATGATGTTTAAAAAAAAATATCATATTTCTTATAATTAACTAACTTACATAACTTTCTTAATCTAATCAAATTAGTTAAATAAGTCTTATATTAAAGACCAGAGGAGGAGTATTAACTATTCTATTTTCAATTAAGACTATATAGCTAGTTAAAGAGTTTTAGTCTTAAATATATGATCATAATTTATTTTTGTCTTACATTTACCATTACAAAATTACATCACCAAATACTTTAAGATATTAAAAATATATATAAATAATAAAATTCTACTTCGAAGTGTTTAACCAACCTTATCGGTTGTCAGTATATCATTTATGCATTTATTTTTAAAAATGTAAAAACGCTTTCATTAACAATAGTGATGCCACATTGTCACAATTCATTTTTTATTTTATTTTGCTTATGTATAAAAATTAATATTATGAACCTACCCAAGAAAAATAAAATATTATGAAACCAAAAACAATTGTGCTCAGTGATCCTACACACTGGATCCAATATAGCATCTTCAGAACCCCTTTCTAAATCAATCTTCCATGTTATATCATTTTTTCATTATCTACCACCTCCGATCGTAGATATAAAAATTAATTAACTAATTTGAATAAATAAAAAAAATAAAAAATTAGTTAGTTGTAATAAAACAGATATTATCTTTCCTAAAATATCCCTACTAATCAAATATATTAACTATAATTACTATTACTATAAGGATTACTTTAAAAAATACATAATATAAGAAATATAGTAAATTAAAATCTTACATTTATGACCAAAATAAAAAATTAACGAGATCTTATATTAAGAACCAGAGGTAGTATAACGTAAGAAAATTGAAAAAAATGCAAACTCGCAAAAAAACAAAAAAAAGCTGAAAATGCAGCACCTATAAGGAACACAGCATCATCCTAACTGATCTTACCTTTCACATTATCTCCTTGAAGAATAATTGTTAAAATGAAATATACAACAAAACTGGATGGCGGCACTTTGCCAGGATACTTAGTCAGCCCCAGCTAATCAATGACAATAACAGTTCCGCAATCTATAAGCAAGCAGAACATCAAAGGACTCATCATTTAACACGTTTATAGATGTTCCGGCAAGACAAGTCAACCGTGATTTCGTATTAGCCTCGGCCAATGGATTTGGCTTCCCTCTAGTAGCCATGCGATCATCCCAGACTCGTATGACTCCATCGGATGAAGCAGTTGCCACTAGGTGAGGGTCATCGCCTTCGCCTGCACCGCAGTGCTTAGTGAGCACAACAATTCCCTTTACACGAGTTTTATGAGCATCTTCAATACTATATGCAACCTTCCCACTGTTTGTATCCCATGCTGTGATATGCGGTCTTCACCACCAGTGTATAAAAGACCATTCTGTTAAATATAGAATCACATCTGAACATTAGATGCTCTGAGGAACTGAGCAATGAAATAAAATTCAAGGTTTATAACAAGAATGCTATATTTGGGTTATTCCAGATACAGCATTGCACGTAATGAAGTAAACTTTGCCTCCTATGCTATCAAACAATTAGCTGACTTCAGTTATTGGTGGTTGTATATTTAGGCAAAAACTTGCTCGTGGGCAGAGTAGCCTCCCTTCGTTTTTTTTGGGGGGGGGGGGGGTAGTCGTATGCTGCTTACAGGATAATTTGCAAGCACCAAGTAGATTTCCATAAACCCCACATAAATCTCAGGAATTTTTTAATGATAAACGTAAGATAACATAGCAGTTTTCCTGATAGAAACACCTCCAAACACATCATAAGCTCATCATCTGTCAAT